AATCACATGCTGCTCCGAGGAGGAATGCTAGAGGCAAATGGGTGGAGGTGGGAGGCTCAAGGAGAAGGAGGCATGGCCAAGGGTAGTAGGAAAAAGATCCTAGACCTGCCACTGATCAGTTGGAGCTGCATGTGCCGATCCTGGGCTCTCAGCAGAACCCAGGCAAACCTCATGCAGCTCCAGCTGAATCTCCGCCCTAAGACTGCGTGCAACTGCCTGCCACTCTCAAGGCCGGCACCAATTAGCTGGAGCAGCTGCGCACTGATCCTGGGCTCTCAGCAGAACCCAGGCAATACCTCATGCAACTCCAGCTGAATCTCCGCCCTAAGACTGCGTGCAACTGCCTGCCACTCTCAAGGCTGCCGCCAATCAGCTGGAGCAGCTGCGCACTGATCCTGGGATCTCAGCAGAGCCCCGGCAATACCTCATGCAGCTCCAGCTGACTCTCCCACAGGCCTGTGTGGCACTGCTGCCGCTTCACCTCATCCACTTTTACACTTTTTTTTAGAGTGCTTTTCAACCCGTCATATGTGTACCACCTGTCAGGTGCAGATGTACCACCAGTGGTATGCATACCACCAGTTGAAAAGCCCTGATCTAAAGCACATGTGGATGATCTTTCATCTTCTCCTGTCCAGAGACATTTTAAAGAACCAGTCTAGTCACTGGTTCTTCAATCTTTGTAGTTGTTATTGTCTTTCCTCTCCAGTTAAGTTCTCCAGCAATCATATATTACTTTATTTTGCCATGGCTACTGTGAAAAAGTGATTGCTAAAAGGGCCATTCAGGCCTTGAATATAATAAAAAATGTTGTGGCAATCACAGAATTCCATGATTGATCAACTAAGATACTTATCATCTAATAAACTTGCTATGTATATTAGTTGATGAAAATGTCTCAATTATTGGAAAGCATTTATATGACAAAAATAATTATGCAATTTCTTGAACAGAGCAAAGCATCACTGTAAACATAGACAGAATAGAATGAAAGAAAACTGCCAAGGAAACTGCTCCCAGTACCATTTCCTATGTTATTCCGTTACCGTAAATTAGGTTTAAGAGGGCTGTGGAATGCTTCTAGGTATGGTTCCTAGAAAATGTTTCAGGACATGTGGGTATGCAAATATAGCACTTGTCTGCAATTCTTTTAAAATGTGGCTGCTTTTAAAAAATTGCACATTCATGCTCCAAGCACATTTTTGACATCAGATCGAAAACATTGCATAACTCTAATTTCCCTAAAGCATAAAGCATCTGAAGAAGAAACATCTTTTTGATATATCCATTTTAGGCAGTCCTTTAAAACTATATCATGTTTATTAAATGGAAACTCCTTAAAATTCCTATATTTAAACACAACAAGTAAACCTTTTTATCTGATTACATCAGTTCCATTGAACTACTAAATGAAAACACATTTTTGCTGGTGAAATTCAGCTCCATACTTCCACCCAGTGGGGTTTTCTTGATAAAAGTTAAAGTACATTTTTAATAGGAATAAGATGAAGCAATTTCCTCCTGCTGCATTGGGGTAAATACAGTGTTACATTTATACCATTTTTATGAAGTGTTAAATTAAATATCTAGCAATGGTTTTGATCATTTTACATCATGCTCACAATACATAAATAATGTATTTAGCAGTAACAGTAGAAATTACAATTCTTACAGTATAAATTTACAGACTAACATGTCAACTCAGCCAATTCATATTACATATCTGTAGCCAGTGAATATTAAAAGATTCCACAGGCATATGAAAATTCTACAAAAATAGGTAGCTGTTATTGTATTGCATAGGTACAGTGTACTGATGGACTGGGCTAATCTTCTGACCTATTACACACATGAGAGGAAGTATAGCAGACAGATACAAAATACCTCTGAATCTTTTAAAATTTGGTGAAATAAAGAAAGCTTGGCCTAGAAAGGGCTTTAGGCTCTACTCAGTTCTAGGTAAAATTTTTGCCTCAGAATTTAGAGACATTCTGTTGTTTCATCCTAAATGTATGTATGCTATACCTAATTCTGTTTTCTTGATTTAACAAGCCTGAACTCTGTTGATTCCTGCATAGATATCCCAAAATAAAAGATGGATTAATTTCTTGAATGTCTGTATGGTTATATTGCAACAGTAGTTGAAGCACTGCTTCCAAATGCAAATATTTTAGTTCTCTTATTATTTAGAGACAATTAACAAAAAAAAAAAAAATAAGCAAATGTATTGTTACTCAGAATGTTCCCCCTATAGAACTATTTATTTTATGTTTACTTATTCATATCCCCAAACTGTAATTTTTATAAATAATTCAAGGAGCAAACATGCAGGTAGTCAATGATTAACAACCACAATTGAGATCAGAACTTCTGTTACTGAAACAATCATTACGTTGCACCCAATTTTACAACCATTTTTGCCATGGTTAAGTGAATCACAGTTGTTAAGTAAATCCATCTTCTCCCATTAACTTATTCAGAAGTTAGCTGAGAAAGTTGCAAATAACGATCTTACTGGACAGCATTCTGTGAAAGTCTCAATTTTCCAAAGCCATATTAGGCAACTGTGGCTGAAACATATCATTCCATTTGATGACATATAGCATAGTGTGCTATTTATGAAGACTAAGGTAAAATGAATTACTGGTCTAAAGAAAAGCTGAGAGAATCAGAGAGGGTGGGGAGAACTTTCCTTTTGGTTTTGGATATATTTCCAATTCAGAATAAGGAAGCTCTGGTGCTAGAACAGGTGTGGGTGATGAGCAGTCCTGCACAGTTGAACCTGGTAGTAAATTCCTTCAAGTGCAAAGGGCGAAATGGGACCTTTAGGCTCCCACCTTTGGCCATGCCTCCTTCTACTCAAGCCTCCCGCCTCCGCCCATTTGCTTCCAGTGTTCCTCCTTGGCTAATCCTCCCCTGCCCATTCTCCCTGGCCAATGGGCCCATCCCTCTGCCTCACGCCCTTTGGCCCAGTCCATTTGCTGAGGCCCCCTTTGTCCCGGGCTTTTGGCTGCACAAGACAATTAGCCGCCAGCCAATCAGATGAGTGGCAGGCAGAAGCCATGGTGCTGCGGGAGCAGCGTATGATTGCCAATAGAGGATTGCAGGGGCTTTGGGGGGGGGGTGCGGCTTCTGCTGTTGAAGTGAGAGCATGGGGGCCATGTCAGTGCTAGTTGGTTATCCCCCCAAAATTCCCTAACTTGGCTCTTGGATGGCCACAGTTACCCAGCACGAGGGGCTCAGGTGAAAGAGATGCCGGCAATCCTAATTCTCAAGAATGAAGGGCTCAGAGGATAGGACGGAAGGAGAGGGCAGATCTGCCCTCTGTAGAGGGTAGATCCCAATCATCCCTGGCCTGGCAGGGGTCTTCCTGCCTCTCCATTGCAGACAAAGGGGGGCTTCAGTGAGGAGGAAGAGAGTTTAAGCAAGCTCAGCAACTGGAGTGGGAATCCCCCCCCCCAAAATAAACCTGCTTCGTGGGTGACCTCCTAGACCAGGGGTAGGCAACCTTGGCTCTTTTATGACTCGTGGACTTCAACTCCCAAAATTCCTGAGCCAGCCACGCTGAGGGGAAAGGGAGAGGTTTCCAAGCTGAGCCGTGCTGGCTCAGGAATTCTGGGAGTTAAAGTCCACGCGTCATAAAAGAGCCAAGGTTGCCTACCCGCCCTAGACAGAAGTGACTAAAACCTGCTGCAACCATCCAGCAGACAGATGGTGGTGGTGGTAATAAAAAACAAACAGCCTCCTGCTGCCAATCCTCCACAGAAATGCTCACAACGAAAACCTTGGTTAGGGAAGAGCGCGGCCCAGGTGGGCATCTTGCTCAGCTGGTGGCTTCACCAGGGATGGAAAGGGGGCAGCTTTATCCCCCCAAAACACCGCCCTCTCACGAAAGCAGGATGAAAACTCCAAAAAAATGACAAGGAAAAAAGGTTAAAACAGAAGAGTGCCTTGTGATGATTTCTCCCCCTCACTTCGTTCTAGCAGGTTAAATACAGTATGTAAAGACCACAAAAGAAAAAACTTGTCTTTCTCTCATTTTAATTCAGAAGGGAGGAACGGAGGAGACAAGGGGGGGGGTTGTTTGTTTGCTTCAAAGGAAGGGAAAAAGAGGGGCTCTGGGAGGGGCATGACAGGTAAACAGTGATGGCGTGTGACTTCTAGCTTTGTGGGGAGGACATTGGGGGCGTGGTCTTTTTAAAAGAGCAAAACGAGGCAAAAAATTAGAAAAGAAAAAAATGGGAAGAAAACTATTGCAAGGTTTTAACCTTTTAATCTGCTCACACTTTGATGGCAGAAGCCGCCCCCCCAAAAAACCCCTGCAACCCCCTATCGGCAATTGCACGCTCCCACAGCACTATGGCTTCTGCCTGCCACCCATCCAATTGGCTGGTGGCTAACTGTCCTGTGTGGCCAAAAGCCCGGGACAAAGGGGGCCTTGGCGAATGGGCTGGGCCGAAGGGTGTGAAGCAGAGGGCCAGGGGCCCATTGGCCAGGGAGAATGGGCAGGGGAGGGCCAGCCGAGGAAGAACGCTGGAGGCAAATGGGCGGAGGCAGGAGGCTCGAGGTGTGGCCAAAGGTGGGAGGCAAAAGATCCTAGACCCTGCAAAGGGATGGAGAAAAATTGCAATCCCAGCTCTAGCCTCTTCATACTTATGGAAGCAATTAAGAGTGTATATAGTTTTTCACACATGGTTTCTCCACTTTGGCTTTTTGTAAAATAAATGATATAGTATAATATGTCATGTGTTGTTGATATTCATCTGAGGTTGTATTTACCCAGTTTTAAGTACTGCTAAGGATCAGATGATTTTTACTATGTCCTGATAGGTAAAGCATGGAACTTGAGGATGTGCTTTCTTTTTCATACAACTGTACATGTTAAATTATTGCAATTCATTATAGAATTCTTGAACAAATTATAAAAAAGTACCTCTGCTAGTACTTTGAAGATTGCTTATGAAGTATTTAGTAGTATTGACCTGCATCTGGTTGCTGAGGATATTCTTAAACCATTTATTGTAATTTTCAGTGTTGCATGTTATCTCTATCTAGATATAGATTACATACAAAAAAATTTCCTGCAATGTTCCAACTAAATCCCATTAATTATTGTTTTTTAAAATTAATCCTGTTATATTTCTGTATGCATTTTATATGCTCATGTTTATCATAGTATTAATTACACTATATTTGGCAAACTATTTGTATTTTATCAAGTTATGCCAAGAACATTTTGCTCATAGTCATTTACATTTTGAATATATGCACAAGAAAACAGAGAACAGAGGAAAACAAAGTATTGCAAACTTTAAGTAAACAGAAGACCAGTTGTACTAAAAACAGCAATACAGTTCTACACATGCCCAGTCAGAAATTATATCAAAGCAAAAGGATTTTTTAAATCAGCACAAATGTACATGCATTCCAAAACTTTACCTGCATTTTTTAAAACAAAGATCATTTTCATATAAGACTATTCAAATTTTAATTTTAAAATCCTTGCAAATAGATCTAAATTGGCAAAAATATTTCCATTATAATTTAATAAGCTTTAGTAAGAGCTGACACTACAAAATGAAAGGGTAGACCATTACAGAAAAAAAGTCCGTATCCAGTTCATATTATTTTTTTGTGTCTGTAATTTAAAACAATGTGACAAGTTATGCTTTTTGCTCGATTTTTTGAAGCAGATATTCCATTTGTAAATTTAGATTTGGCTGTCCTTTTCTAGTCCTTTTACTTAATATTTTGTATGTTTCCATTTTCTTCTGTTTGTAAAGTTTTTGAGCTTGTTCTCTTTCTTCTCTCCTTTTTTTGGCTGCCTGAAATTAAAAAAAAAAAAAACTGGAATCATTAAGACCTATACTTATTCCATTCCTTTAGAGCAGTGGTTCTCAACCTTTTTTATGCTATGACCCCCAACCGGTCATAAGTCGAGGACTACTCAACCGGTCGTAAGTCGAGGACTACTCAACTGGTGCAGCACCGTTTGCAGAATGAGACTTTTGGCGGGGTCAGCAGGGCAGAGACAGCCTGGACAATTCCTATTGGCTTTTGAAAGCCAATAGAATTAGACTCTATTCAAGAGAGTCTATTCTATTGGCTTTCAAAAGCCAATAGAATAAAAGGGAGTAGCACAGCTAAGGAAAAGGGGAGGAAAATGGCAGATTGCGTTGTTTGGTGACCCCCGGGAAATGGTTGTTCGACCCCAAATGAGGTCCCGATCCACAGGTTGAGAACCACTGCTTTAGAGTTCTTTCATATTATGCATGCTGCTTCAATCTTTGCAACTATATACCGTATATAACAAAAAGTACCATCTATCAGCATACATTCTGAATGCCCTTCTCATTTAACTCACAGGACAGAGCGTGCAAGTGTTGACATCAGTTTCTTCTATATAAACTTCTACTTTGAAACCTAAACATGTTTTAAGATTATATAGTCCTATAAATACTCAAAAGGGATCAGCATTATTGAAATCAGTAACAAACTGCCTATATAAAATTTAAAACACCAAGATATAGCCCTAAAACTAATGACTTTATTTAAAAGTTACTTACTTCTTTTTTCTTGTCTCGTTCAATCTTTATTTTCTCATAATCCTCTTTTGCTTTCTGGTTTGAAGTTTTTGCTTTACATTTTCTCTGAATCACATTGCTCCTGTTTTAAACAAGAATACTGGTAATTAAAATATGCCTTTGGTTAAGCAGAACTATAATATCTAAGCAGTTGGGAACTTTGATTCAATGACTGAAAACCTGTGGAATGGATGAATGGAAAAGATCCTCAGATTATTATTTGCTTCAGCCCAGTACTTTATTTAGTTATTGTAACTTTTCTGGAGAACAGGGCTAGAAATAATTTTAAAATTGGCCTCCGGGGAAGAAATAGTGAAGTAAAGATGGCTTGTTAAAAGCATAGCTGATGATTGTGGAATGAAGAGCTGGCAAATATACTGACTCTTTGTACTATCTCTTGGGAGCTTGAGATTACCCACAAGTGCTCCAGGCAAATGTTTCTTGCAAGGAGACCAAAGACACCAATGTCTAGCAAGTTTCCGTGGGAGATGAGGGAATCTTGTTCAAACCATGGTTGATACCATATTTCCCCAAAAGTAAGACCTACCCCCAAAATAAGCCCTAGCTCGATTTTTGGGGGGTGGGCCTAATATAAGCCTACCCCAATAAGCCCTAGTTTTGAGGCAAGGTGCATGCCTAAAATTTAAGCTAGGGCAGGGATGGGGAGTGGAGTTGCCCCATGCGCCCCACACCTGCTTAATGTTGCAGCCAGGCCTCCCATGGATTGATACTTGCTTCGCCTCGCTGGTCCACTTCTTCTGTGGGGTCCCCCAGTGAAATGCAGGTCGGAGCTCCATTCTCTTTTTATAAAAAATTCTTAAATTAATTTTCTAATTTTACATTTAAATATTTGAAAAACAATGTGGCGGCTGAGTTGGTCAGTAATTCAATAATATACAAATATCTTTAGTACAGATCTCAAAATATTACATTAAATAATTCCTCTCTTTTCCCCTTAGTATTTACTTTCTCATATTTAAATTAATATAATTCTTATTATATTGCTTAAATAAAAATAACTTTCTTACATTTGTCAATAATTTTTGTCTATACATATCTTAGTTGTTTTAACATTCAATCTTTTTCGACAATCAATGTCCTGATTAGTTTTTCCCAATTTTTAGTTTCCTGCTAATGTTTAAATTTAACATTTAATATTTATAATCTCCAAGTTTTAAATAACTCCAATTTTCTTTATCACAATTCATCACAGGATCTAATGTTCAGGATACACATCTTATCTATTTGAGTTCTCACCATCTTACATCAACCAATTAATAATAGAATATAAAATTCTTATTTTCTGATAATTTCCAAATATCTTAAAATTAGTAACCAAAATTTCTGTTATTTCAACATTTAATACTTCCTCTCTTTTTCTCTTAATAGCTACTATCTCATATTTAAGCTAATAATTTTTATTATTGCCACTAAATAAGATATTACATTCATCGATAAATTTTTAGCTTATATCTATCTTAATTACCTTTACGTTTAACTTTTATAAGCAAATCAACATTCAAATTTAACTGTTAATATTTATACTTCCAAGTTTTAAATGACCAAAGTTTTCTTTATCTCCACTCATTACAATATCTAGTATTCAAAGTACACATTTTATCTATTTGCGTATATTCTATTTTAATTCACTAGTAAGTCAAAATCCCAACTTTCTTCAGTCTTATTCTAGCTTTCTTTCTTTGCCAAATCATCTTCTATGTCCGTGCTTTTGAGTCATCAAATCTCCCTGTATTGTTTGTATGTTGGTTGACGTAGAAAAAACCATCCGGTTGCCATTTTTTTGAGAGGATTAACAAATCGTCTATTTTTCCATCTCGACGTAGTTGTCCTGAACTGTTTTATCTTCTCTTCAGTCTGTTTTTGATCCTCAGGTTTCCTGAGCTCTTCTCAGCTGCAGAAGTGTGCCAGCTGGGTGGGGCTGTCAGTGCTACGGCAGCGAAGAGAGTGGAAAAGACACCCCCCCCCCGAAAATATGACCTGGTGCCTCCTTTGGAGGCAAAAATAATAACAAAGACCGAGTTTTATTTTCAGGAAAACACGGTATCTTTAAAAGGTCATTGGATTTGCACACTCCCTTTTCTAATAACTTTCACAAATTGTTAACTGCTTTTCAACTATTAGAATTTTTGGATTGACAAATCTGGGTGAGTTTCCTTCAAGTCTTTAGCAAAATAAATTTTTAAATATAAGTTTAAGGACTTTTTTGAAATAAACAGCAAAGGGATGATTAGAGCTTTGATTTTGGAAAGTTACAATAGACTAAGGGTCCAGATAAACTGGAAATAAGATTTTGGAATTAATTATAAGAATCCTCTCTGTGGAAAACATTTTTATTTTAAATTCTTTAAAAAAATATACGATAGAATTTTGAAGGTTACGCTCTAGAAGGAACTAAAGAGTGCATTCAAGAACACTTATAAATTCAGAATAAAAAAGACTGCTAGGAAAGAATATAAAGTTGGTTATTTGATCAAGATTGTTCTCTCTGTTGCTGATGTTCTGTCTGCCAAGCCTTAATAAACTTTTGCTGAAATCAGGGCTGAATGACAATGCTTTAAAGGTTTGTTTATACGTAAGTGATGGGATACTCGAAGATGAGATCATTTGTTTATTTTAAGAGAGGGTCACTGTTTATACTTGTTGCAATAAAGTCATTACTGTATTTTTCTTTACTATATTTTTTCTTTCTCTATTTTTCTCCATTTTTATTTTCTGCACTATTTTTTCTTTCATTGTTTTATTTTTAAGTATGTATTAGTTTTTATTGTTGTAATTTTAATTAATAAAATCACTATAAAGAAGGAAAACATTTTACTAAGAACAGTAGCATTCTTACTCTGAAGTTACCATCTCCTTCTCTTCAAGTACTACTGGTTTATATTTAGGTTTCTGCTGTTTCTGAAGCATTTCCTCTTCAGCTAAATAAAGATGTTTCAGGTGTTCGGGATAATCTTCGGTATACCCAACATTCCTCTGTGGATTCACATTTCTTTCCTTTTTAAGTAACTTTTTGTAGTCACGTTGAATCTTTTGTTTTCTCCAAATGGCAAAACCTTGACCTAAAAGTTTAGGACAAAAAGATTACTTACTTTTTAATGAATGTATTTCTTTTGTAACATGTACCACTCACCAGTCTGATACTTAAAACTGTACACCAATCTGTATCTGGTAGTGATTAATTGGTTACAAAGTATACACCTTGAGAAGATTCATGGATACATATTACCATAACCTTTTCTCTCTTCCACCTGTAAATTCAATATCAGCTGTTACATAACAATTAGAGCTTTGGCTAAGTCAGCGGTCCCCAACTTTCCAGCTCTGCAGACTGGCCGCAGGTGGGGTGGGAAGGGGATGGTTACCATTTGCACAAATGGAGCTTTAAGTACTTGTCTGCCCTTTGTGCACCCATTCCCAATGGGCGAGGCCAGGATTTGGGGACCCCTGGGCTAAGTTATATATAAAAGCTGCTAGAGTCATATGAAAAAGTACGCCCACATAAAGTTTTTTCTTTAACATATGATATACAAATCATTTGTCTTTATTAACATATGATACACAAAATCATATTTCTTTATTCAAATGGGATATAACTGTCTTTCTCTGTGGCTGTACTTTCCCTCACTAATTTCAAAATCAGTAGTTATTTTTTTTTAATGTAGTGGGAATCCTTTGCATATAATATGCATGCTCAAAATTATCATCTATTTTATGTACTGTGTGACTCTTGCTCTTTGTTGTAATAGACCAATGTTTCCCAAACTTGACAATTTTAAGGCATGAGGACTTCAACTCCCAGAATTCCACAGCCAGCAACGCTGGCTGTGGAATTCTGGGAGTTGAAGTCCTCATGCCTTAAAATTGTCAAGTTTGGGAAACACTGTAATAGACTAATCTTGTATTAATAAAATGTTCTCCAACTAGTGATATTACATTTTTGCCAAAATAGTAAAAATGCAGAAATGATATGTTCTCTTCCAGGTTACGCGTCGTTAATTTCTCAGTCCGGCCCGTTTCTGCTTTTTTCGAGACCACTAAAAATCAGCTAGCTTTGATATCTAGCTTAGCGTCACGGAAAAAAGTAAGACGTCAAGAGACCACGCTGCAGAGAAACCATAATGTCTTTTCCCCTTTGGCTCGCCCAGCTGTGAGGTTCATACCCTCCTTCAGGCTTCCCCTGTCCCATCGCCGGGGCTGCTTCCGAATCAGACCAGCCGGAGCTTTTTCCTTTCCTCCATTTTTATTGAAGCTCGGAGAGTCTCTATGCTTCCCAACTGGCGCCATCAGGCAATCTGTTCAGTTTTGTCGCACGCTGTCTATGTCATCAAAAGGTGTCACCGACGTCTTTTCAGCTGCAGGGGTATCCAATTGGGAAGAACGTTGATATAGCTTTGTTCGGCACTTGATTCACTTTGCCTGGGAAGAAAGGTCGAGCAAGCACGGAAGGCAGGGAAGGAGGGAGGGAGGGAGGAGGCGAAAACCAGATCCATCGATGCTGAGTTATCGGTATTCCTTCCCAGAATTTTCTCCTCGATGATTGGCACGCAGTTTCTGTGCTGGGTTCACCATGTCCAGGTGTCCTCAGAAGCCTCCGCCGGCCGCCTCCCGAGAGAATTACCCTTTGCCTCCGGAGCCTTCCGGGAAGACAGTAACTGAGCGACTACGGGCAGTCGCAGAGTTCCTCCGGTGGGGACTTCCGCTGTGCCAGACCCACACGGTGGAGTTCTACACGAGGGGGCTGTGGGAGAAGTTCGTAGCTCTTTCTCCCGAGGCGGTGCTGGGCGCGCTGAGCGGAGAGAGGTTGCAGCACCTCCTAGAAGAGCCGACTCCGCAGCGCCCCTTAGAGGATGTTGCCGGTAAGAGCCACCATCGGGAAAGCTACCGGCGCTGGCTTGAGCTCTTGGAATAGAACCTGCCCTCAGGGCGTGCGCTGTCCGGGGGACAAGCGTTAAGAGACGAGCGCCGCCTCGCTCCTGCCCAGTTCTTTCCCTCCGCTCTGTCCGTCCGGTCTTCGTCAGCTTTGCTGGCATCTTCATTTCTTTCTTCACCACCTGAAATCGGGACGTGGTTGTTCGGTCTACGAAGATTTGAAATAGATTTAAAATACCTCTGCTGTAACAACGTTAATCTTTTAGCGCGGTGTTTCTCAAGCTTGGTAATTTTAAAAGGCGGACCAGAATTCCTCAGCTAGCACGTTGTCTAGGTTGAGAAACAGGGATTTTGGGAACTCGGAGATTCCCTAGGCAAGCTCTCTCTTTTTTCCTCTCATTCTCTCCCTCTCTCTTTCCCCGCCCTGGAATAGACCTGCTTAGTTTTATTATGCCTGCAGTCCTAATTCATACAGTTCCATTTCCTCAACCGAGCATGCATTATAAGCAATTCACATAGTACATTTAATAAAGAATGATGATATATTTAAAATGACGGTTTCTGAAGCAAAGCTATCAGCATTCTTGGATGGAACCTTTGGGCCAGTCGTTTGTTCTCAGTCCTACCCACCTTACATGATTATGGTTGTGGGGAAAATGAGAATCAGCTTTATGTAAAAAAATAAAGGGAATACATAAATTAATACATATAAATAAAAGCTAATACTCCATGATATTCTCCCTCCTTTATTTAGTATATTAGTATTGTTTACAATTCAGGAACTGATCTTAGACTTTTCCAAACTTCTGGAAAGTATTTAGAGTTTTAAATATTACTGAGATAATTTGATTTCTCTTTGAATGTAATTGATAATCTTATCTAATTGATTTATGTAGACTTTTGAAGCCAACATTTTTTCTCTTTTTTTATAACTGAAAAATAAACATTTCCACATTATTAGGAGATTATTTTCAGGATGGTTCCTAGATTAGTTTTCGGTTTTAGTCTAGAAGGTATAATTTTGCTATGTATTGCATCCAAAAGAAAAAAAATGTGGTTTATTACAGACAACTGGTACACTTGTCCTGTGTACATATGAACCATATTTTTTGCATTTAGAATCTCATGTGCTGTATAGTCTAATAGATACCAAACTGAAATGAAAGCTTTATCCATGAATTAAAATTCTTGAGCATTTGTCCTATTTGTTTTAGAAACCAAAAAAAAAATCCATATTAAAATTCACTAAAAATGCTGCTCATGATTTTCATAATTCTAAAGTTACAAAAGAATTGTTATATATTTGCCTTCCATTGGTATTCAATTTTTCAACTGATTCTGCTCCACTTGACACACAGCAAGGACATTCATTGGATTGATTATATTTCCTGCTTCATCATAAATCAGAAAGAGGACTTGCTATTTAATAAATGAACATAAAATACATAAACTGTATGAAAGTAACAACCTGTGTCCTACTGAGTCATTGTTTCATAGAAATTTCTTTACTAGATTCCTCAATGCCTTCACATTGGCAGAGCTAATGTACTTGAAAAGTTCTTAAAAATTCTGGGAGATATTCAGAAATGTATCTGCCTTGAAAATAGCCTATGTTGAACTGTGTAGCACAGGCACCAGGAGCCGACCATATGAAATTATATTGTATTTTGTATTTTGCAATATATCATAAAATGTTTTATAAAATTTATCAAATTTCAATTTTATGGGAATCATGGATCATGTATTTTGAACACATGCAGTAGGCCTATTTCAGGTACCTTGGTTGAAAAGTTTTGCTCTGTGATGCCCTGTTTCATCCAGTTTCATTATTATAAACTGTTTCCTATTCTTTCCACACAGATAAATCTGGATTTTACAACATTTTTTGTAAAAATACTCAGAGGCTGATTAATGTCCAGGCTTTTGCATTAGCTGCTAAATACTATTCAATGCCAAATCTTGGAGTATGCATCTCATTAGAACAGATACTCGAAACACTGGACAGAAAACAGCAATCAAGATCAAGTAAGTTAATAATGTTATATTGTTTTTCATATCTATAAAACTTTTTCCTTAAAATCCAATTATTAGGAACCATGGTAGTACAGTGGTTAGAATGCAGTATTGCAGGCTAATTCTGCTGATTGCGAGCAGTTCAATTCTTATTGGCTCAAGGTTGACTCAGCCTTCCATCTTTCCAAGTTGGTAAAATGAGGACCCAGATTGTTGGGGGTAATATGCTGACTCTGTAAATTGCTTAGAGCAGTGGTCCCCAATCCCTGGGCCGTGGCCCACTAAAGATGTGCAAATGGAGCTGTGTTCACATATGGAATCCTCCCCTTTCCTCCCTCCCCTTGTTGTTGTTAATTGCGAAGTCGTGTCCGACCCATCGCGACCCCATGGACAACGTTCCTCCAGGTCTTCCTGTCCTCTACCATCTTCTGGAGTCCATTTAAATTCATACCTACTGCTTCAGTGACTCCATCCAGCCATCTCATTCTCTGTCGTCCCCTTCTTCTATTGCCCTCAATCTTTCCCAGCATTAGGCTCTTCTCCAGTGAATCCTTCCTTCTCATTAGGTGGCCAAAGTACTTGAGTTTCAACTTCAGGATCTGGCCTTCTAAAGAGCAGTCGGGGTTGATCTCTTCTAGGACTGACCGGTTTGAACGCCTTGCAGTCCAAGGGACTCGCAGGAGTCTTCTCCAGCACCATAGTTCAAAGGCCTCAATTCTTTGCGCTCAGCCTTTCTTATGGTCCAACTTTCACAGCCATACATTGCAACTGGGAAAACCATGGCCTGGACTATACGCACTTTTGTTGGCAGGGTGATGTCTCTGCTTTTTAGAATGCTGCCTAGATTTGCCATAGCTTTCCTCCCCAGGAGCAAGCGTCTTTTAATTTCTTGGCTGCAGTCCCCATCTGAGGTGATCTTGGAGCCCAGAAAAATAAAATCTGTCACTACCTCCATTTCTTCCCCATCTATTTGCCAGGAATTGAGAGGGCCGGATGCCATGATTTTGGTTTTCTTAATGTTGAGTTTCAAGCCAACTTTTGCACTCTCCTTCTTCACCCGCATCAAGAGGCTCTTTAGTTCCTCTTCATTTTCTGCCATCAGAGTGGTATCATCTGCATATCTTAGGTTGTTGATATTTCTCCAGGCAATCTTGCTAGTCCGCAAAGTCAGAAAGGTTAGAGACCGCTGGTTTAGATACTATGTTAGTTTTTAATTCCTTTTGTCTCTGGAAAGAACATTTTAAAATAACAATAACAGTGTTGGAAGGGACTTTGGAGGTCTTCTAGTCCAACTTCCTGCTCAAACAGGAGACTCTGTACCATTTCAGACAAATGTTTGTTCAGTCTCTCCTTAAAAATGTCCAGTGTTGGAGCATTCACAACTTCTGGAGGCAAGCCGGTCCACTGGTTAATTGTTTTAACTGTCAGGAAAATTCTCCTTATTTCTAAGTTGGTTCTCCTTGATTAGTCCATTGCTTCTTGTTCTGCCTTCATGTGAGCCTCTCTTCTGTGTGGTAGCCCCTTAGATATTGGAACATTGCTATCATGTCATCCCTAGTCCTTCTCTTCATTAAATTAGACATACCCAAAAACTGCAATTGTTTTTGATACGTTGTAGCCTCCAGTCCTCAAATGATATAATTCAGTTCTTAATGAGCTTTGAATTTGGGCAATCATTTTTTTAGTATTTATGGATTGAAAATCAATATTTTAACATAATCTTTTCTGCTATCAATAAAAAACCTAAATACAGAAACTGATTTAAGAAATTTTCAGTTGACTTTTAGCCAAGGGATTCTGCAGAAATGAAATTAATGATATGTTCTTCCAAATCAAATCCCACCTTAGCCATGAAAGTGAGTTGAATGATGGGCCAGTCACTATCTCTCAGTGTAACCAACCCCATATGGTTGTTGTGGTAGGGAAAATAGGAGGAGGAAGGAGTATTAAGTATATTTGTTGCCTTGAGTTATTTGTAAAAATGGTGATAGACAGACAGAATAAGAGCTGTTTCTATATCACATAGATTTCCATGTGAAGTAGTTTTAATACCTTATTAAAGAAACAGTTTTCCTTATTTTGGAAAGAATTCCCTTTTGTTTTCCAGAAATATTCAATATTCTCTGAATATTCTTGCTCTAAGCCAGTGGTTCTCAACCTTCATAATGCCGCGACCCTTTAATACAGTTCCTCATGTTGTGATGACCCCCAACCAAAAAATTATTCCAGGGTCATGTGATCACCTTTTGCAACCTTTGCAAGCAAAGTTAGTGGGGAAACCAAGATTCACTGAACAACCATGTTACCAATTTAATCTCTCTCCCTCTTTCTTTCTCTCTCTCCCTTTTTTTTCCCTCTCTCCCTTTCTTTCTCCCTCCCTGTCTCTCTTTCTCTCTCCCTCTTTCCCTCTTTCTCCCTTTCTCTCTCTCC